TCTTTTAGAAGGTTCCACAGAGTGGTTTTTACATATTCTCTGCTGTTTCTGCTAAAGTTTATGTGAGTGTTGGAGGTAGTGCTTAAAAGTTGGGCAGGTGTTTGAAATATGTGCAGAAGTGGTGGCTCTCTTAAGAAATGAAAAGAAAAATGAAAGTAAAACAAAGAAAAATTGAAAGCAAAAGAGAGCCACTACCAAAAATCTGAATAATGCCCAGTAAGTAGTGTTTCTTAGTAGTCTGGCTTGGAAATGCTGACATTTATACCTCCTTCGCTCTTGTGCTCTTGAGATATTGAGTAATGCAGAATAGTAGAAAGAAAATACCGGTTTGTTTGACTGTGATTGTGTGGGTTTGGAAATGTGGAACCTTGTGCTATGAATACTTCCACCACTTAAAAGGCCTTTTCCCCATGTCCAAGACCCTAGCCAGTCATTTGAACCTGTGTCTAAGACCTCTTGATTAGTTAGTGGTGACACCCCATATGTGAACTCTAGCAATTAGAGGCTGCCATCATGGTGAAGAGATGTTAGGGATTGAGAGAAATAGCATGCGCATCTTTCGCATCAAATTGTCCTGACCCCACTGGTCGAGAGTGAGTGATTCATTTTCATATTCTACATACTCTTGTACCCCGGTGAGGACCTAGATTGCTTGGTCTCTGTTCTGATGTCTTGAGTTGGATGCATGAGTTGACTGTTTCGAGTAAGAGGTTGAATCAAGTCTAGGTTGGCTGGTGAACAGAGGGGAGACTCTTCCTTTACTCGATTTTGCTGCACTCGAATGTCCTTTGTGGTGGTTGTCCAGGTTGCTATTGAGGTTGTTCATGTATTGATGTTTGAAAACCAGTACGATTCACGTGTTCTGTGCTTTTATGACTTGTCCCCAATGTTGGTTGATTGAAATATGTAAGCTTACCTGGTGTCTGACTTGGTTTGCTTGGGGACAAGCAAACGGTTAAGTGTGGGGGGAGTTTGGTGTGGTGAGCGTGGAATATATATTTGGGTGCTTGGAGCCTAGTCCGTTGTCCGAATCTTACGATTTGAGGGCTCCAAGTACTGCTGTTTGATCATATTGGCACTGTGTTTTGATTGATGAATTGAATGGCTTTCGGATTGATGCATGACCGCTTGATTGTGATTAGGACGACCTATGATGAGGACTGAGACGTGCAGTAGAATTGTGTAGGGGTTCAGTTTTTCAACTGTTTGCTCGCCAACTGTGACTTGGATTGATTACTTGTTCTTGACAGTCGTTTGTGCATCTAGTTCAGGGTATCAGAATGTGAGATAGAGCATATAGGTAGCCATGTGAGATTTGAGCGTGCTCGTTTCTTTCTTGTGCGATAGATCCCTCTTCCATGATGTGTAGCATTCACGTTGTCACTAGCTAAGATGATGGGGGCATAGGATTAGCCCACGCCCAAATTGACTGTCCTGATGTGTCATATCCCCTAGTTAGCCCCTTTGAGCCGTGTGTTACCCTTTCTTTTGGTCTATAATGAAAAAAAATCACCCTTGTTGCATCTTTTAGAAGGTTCCACAGAGTGGTTTTTGCATATTCTCTGCTGTTTCTGCTAAAGTTTATGTGAGTGTTGGAGGTAGTGCTTAAAAGTTGGGCAGGTGTTTGAAATATGTGCAGAAGTGGTGGCCCTCTTAAGAAATGAAAAGAAAAATGAAAGTAAAACAAAGAAAAATTGAAAGCAAAAGAGAGCCACTACCAAAAATCAGAATAATGCCCAGTAAGTAGTGTTTCTTAGCAGTCTGGCTTGGAAATGATGACATTTATACCTCCTTCGCTCTTGTGCTCTTGAGATATTGAGTAATGCAGAATAGTAGAAAGAAAATACCGGTTTGTTTGACTGTGATTGTGTGGGTTTGGAAATGTGGAACCTTGTGCTATGAATACTTCCACCACTTAAAAGGCCTTTTCCCCATGTCCAAGACCCTAGCCAGTCATTTGAACCTGTGTCTAAGACCTCTTGATTAGTTAGTGGTGACACCCCATATGTGAACTCTAGCAATTAGAGGCTGCCATCATGGTGAAGAGATGTTAGGGATTGAGAGAAATAGCATGCGCATCTTTCGCATCAAATTGTCCTGACCCCACTGGTCGAGAGTGAGTGATTCATTTTCATATTCTACATACTCTTGTACCCCGGTGAGGACCTAGATTGCTTGGTCTCTGTTCTGATGTCTTGAGTTGGATGCATGAGTTGACTGTTTTGAGTAAGTGGTTGAATCAAGTCTAGGTTGGCTGGTGAACAGAGGGGAGACTCTTCCTTTACTCGATTTTGCTGCACTCGAATGTCCTTTGTGGTGGTTGTCCAGGTTGCTATTGAGGTTGTTCATGTATTGATGTTTGAAAACCAGTACGATTCACGTGTTCTGTGCCTTTATGACTTGTCCCCAATGTTGGTTGATTGAAATATGTAAGCTTACCTGGTGTCTGACTTGGTTTGCTTGGGGACAAGCAAACGGTTAAGTGTGGGGGAGTTTGATAGACCGTTATTTACGCATGTTTTTACCCCCGTTCTTACACCGTTTGAGGTGTTGATTCTCGTGTTTTAGGCCGATTTCACGCTAGGTTGTGCTTGTTTGTGATATTTCAGGTCCTAGTACGTGAATGGAGGCTTGGGAGCGAGTCTGGGGTCGATTGGACGAAGATCGGACGAGTGGCGAGGTGTCAAGGAAGCCGCACGGGCAGACCGGGGCATCGCACGGCCGTGCAAGTAAGCAAGATGGCCGTGTGATTTTTGCCGAGGCCACACACGGGCAACCCATGAAATTCACACGGCCGTGCAAGGGGCAATTGTGGCCGTGTGATATTTGCCGAGGCCAAACACGGGTAGACTGGATTCCTCACACGGCCGTGCAACCCAGGCCGTGTGAGAAGGCTGAAGTTCGAACTTAATGATACGCCGCGTTTCGACTCGCACGGGCAAAGTGCCGTGTGGCCTGCCCGTGTGAGTCGGGAAATTCTGGTTTTTGAGCCAATTCCGAGCCAAAAGTGGAAGGATCGTATTTTCAGAGCAGAAACAGAGCCCTAGAGAGAGAAAGTACGAAGAACACATCCTAGAAGCTATCTTGGAGCTGGGTTTCATCGAATCGAGCTTGGAGATCGTCATAGGAGTGGAAATCATCATCCCGGAGCAGATTTTCCTCATCATTATGAGTATGACTACTCCGATTACTGTTTTCTCTTCTCTCTCTATAGAGTAGAACCCTTCTCTCACTTGGGTATGAAGAACCCTAGTTCCTTGTGTTAGGGATTTGATTGTAATGACTTGGGATGATATTACTGTTTGATTTTAATCGAATGATGCATGTTTATTGAATTGATTGGAGTCTGATCAGCTTTTCTCGATTTCTGCTGCAACCTGAGATAAATAGAATCTGATTAGGTTGTTAGAGCCTCTTCATTCGATAGTAGGAGATTGGCTATACGAGAGTTAGCCAGTTTACTGCTTTGTACTGGAATTTAATTCCAGTAGTGGAGTTCTGTGTTCATAGCCTCAGCTTTCTATCCCGGTGAAGACTAGTCATCTGCCGGGTAGTTAGACTGAGAGGGCTTGGTCAGCTTAAGAGATTCCAAGCCAATGTCGGAACTTCCGCAGTCTAATCAACAGTGAATCAACCCAGGGGAATTACAATTGAACCTAATTAAAGGGGCTAGGGGGACTCAATCCCGAGTGACTCTTTCCTGACTTTGAAAACCGAACAATTTACTGCTTTCTTACTGCTTTTGCTTTAACAACAATCACTCGAATTAGTTTGCTAGATAATAGATAATCACGGAGTAAGCAGTAGATCTAGACCCCGGGTTGATAATTGAACTTGCCTATTACTGCATTCCCGGACTGCAATTACACTTGGTCGCAGTTTGGTGTTGTGTTTTGGCGTGTCATCCATCAATCAAATTGTGATACAATCCACTTGATTCATGATCCACCAATACATGAATCAAATCCATCTCTCACCTCTAGTTGTGATTGATTATCAAAATTCCACATTTGAACTAAGATGATGGAAATAGTGAGATTAGATGTTGCATTCAATAGATCCTATTAGGTGTTGAAAACAAATAGATTTGAATTGACAAGTTATCTTCTTGATTTACCCCATAATTGCTGGAAGTAGAGGAGGCAGAAGCAACATGGTTGTGGCTCAACACTTCCAGAACCAGAGCCTTTATCTCGTTTACATTTACTCTATTTAAACTTAGCTATGAGCTTTGTATGAGCACTGACCTGCATTTGGTTTGTTGAACGTTACATGGTTGTGGCTCAATACTTCCAGAACTAGAGCCTTTATCTCGTTTACATTTACCCTAGTTGAACTCAGTTTTGAGTTTTATATGAGGACTGTCATGCACTTGGTTTGTTGAATGTTATTTTGGGAGTTCGTAGCTGGTAAATATTTTAGCTGATTCTGGTGACATTGCTAATTCTAACACTAACGCACTCCTTAACAACAAACAAAAAGTAGTGTGAAAGAATTTAGATGATGGAAATAATGAGATTAGGTGTTGCATTCAATAGCTCCTGTTAGTTGTTGAAAACAAACATATGTGAATTGACAAGTTATCTTCTTGATTTACCCCTTAATTGCAGGAAGTAGAGGAGGCAGAGGCAACATGGTTGTGGCTCAACACTTCAAGAACCAGAGCCTTTATCTCGTTTACATTTACTGTAGTTGAACTTAGCTGTGACTTTTATATGAGTACTTACCTACACTTGGTTTGTTGAACATTACATGGTTGTGGGCTTGTGGCCAACACTTCTAGAACCAAAGCCTTTATCTCGTTTACATTTACCCTAGTTGAACTCAGTTGTGAGTTTTATACGAGCACTGACATGTACTTGGATTTTTTAACGTTATTTTGAGAGTTCGTAGCTGATACAGATTTTAGCTGATTCTGGTGACAGTGCTAATTCTAACACTAACGCACTCCTTAACAACAAACAAAACAGTAGTATAAAAGAACTTACTGAGGAGAGTCATCCCGAAGCATAAATAGAGAGCGGATCAATAGGGTCCTAATCAAACCGCCTTCTGAAGACAAACATTCATTTAAAAAACCTCAACTAGGAACATAATGTTGTATCATAGTTCCTGCATTAGTTCCCAGTGTATCTGCCAACTCTCCAAGAACCCCCAATAGTTTTTTTCATAACCAAATCATCACTGCAATACACACACACACACACAAGAAGAAACGCAAGTACCAGAACTTTTACCAGCGCAAAATTGAGAATGATTATGAATAAGAAGGAAGGTTAGCCAATAGCCACTCACATAACATTTTCCACGTAAATACTATCCAAGAACTGCACGATGTGTGGTTATGAGGAATCAATAATTTGGGTCTTAGTTTATTCTTAAACACTTGATGAATTCCAGTGTTAGCCTCTAAGATTACGTTTCTAAGAGAGTTTGTGTACTCAATCATCTCGTTGTCAGCATCTGTAGTGTGGGAACACAAAAAAACAACAGAGATGACAAAGGAAAGGGTTAGTTGAGGTTCTTTTTCAGAGGGTGGAACGGAGCTTTTGACCTTCTAGGTCCATTTACCTATTAAAACTCATTTTCATATATGGTAGAGTTATATTTTCGAAGAAGAAAAATATATTCTAATTAACCATCCCAAAAAAGTTCACTTGCAAATCTAGAAGGACATAATTTGACCCGGAAAAACAAGGAGAATGGCATATACCATCACCCATATTTGCTTAGATCTAACCAAATTTCAATCTAGATTTGCTTAGATCTCATCGTAAGAATAAAAAATCACAACTTTCATGATTTTATATACTCAGACTTACCCAGGATTGAATAGGGGAAGGAGCTGAGTGATGGAGATGAGATGAAAGTCATTTTTGCTTCTTTCATCCAAGAGGTTTTGTGAAAGAGATCCAACCGATACAGCGGCAGTGGCAGAGGAAAGGGTATCACGACATGCCTTCAAAGGATAAAATAACCACCGGAGAACTAGGAGATGGAGATAGAACACAGAGGTGCCAGAAACTGGAACAACAGCATGGGAAATGGGTATTCAGCGCGGCCGTGAAGAGATAGAAGAGAGCGGGTAGAGGGAGAGATCGTGATATGGGTAAAAAGAGCAGAGGAGCAAAGAAAGGAGATGAAGATAAAACAGAATGTAACAGAGAGAGGGGGGAAGAGTTTGGTTTCAGTTCCCAAGTCTTATTAAGTTTCCTTCATCTCTTCAGTTTTTTTCGATTATTATTTCTTCTTTTTAGTAAAAGAATAAATACAAAAATAAAAGTAATGATTAGGTGAAGAAAACAAGGCAAACGGAGTGGTCGACAGGCTATTAATGTTTTCAATTTTTTATGGGAACCTGCTTGCCATTCATTTAATTCTTAATTTCAGTTACAGAGGGCCTCGCCTGGCCCTGATCAGCCTCAATCAAACACAAGAGAGAAAGCGGGGGGTTATCCACCCTGGCCATCTGACAATCCCACAAACCAACCGAGTGAGTCACCTAGTGTGCGACAATGTTATTCTTGCGAGGAGAGAAGCTCCACCTCACAGGGGTCCCAGAGAAACTTGCATTCACTTTCGCCAAGCTCCAAATCTCCTCACACCAAAGCCCCACCTAAGTCTGATCCCCTTCCTTCATGCTCAATTTCCGAATCAGAACTTGGCAATCCGATTCCACAATGAGAGGGCTAAACTCCCTTCTATTAGCTTCTCTTAACCCCATCACAATCACCCTCGCTTCAGCCTCGATTGGCCTACAAACTCCCTTATCCTTCAAAGCGGTGGCTCCTTTGAAAACACCCCTCCAGTCCCGAATGATATACCCCATCCCAATTCCAGTCTGCTTCAAGATTCTGGTGAGAGTTTAATTTGAAAGCTCTCTCAGGAGGTGGCGACCATCTGTCAAGAGGCGTAGCGCTGTTGCATGTCGAGGAGAGAGGCTCCAAGGCGCTATGAGCATAAAGGAAGGAGCGAAGCCAGGCCAAAGCTCCAGGGATGATCTCGTCCTCGGCCAATTTGATGTTGTTATTCAGATGATTGCAACATCTTTTCAACATGTACCACAACCACACAGAAACGTTGGATTTTCTCTTGCTCAAACTGCTTCCACACTACTTTAAACCATTCAAGACAAGATTTTCCTTCTCCTATCTCATACATCTCTTTCTCTTCCCATGTCTGCCATTTGTTTCTGATCCAGCTGCGATCCCGCAAAGCATGAGGTTGATTCTCCGGGAGACCGCAAAAGGAGCAGTCTGGGCATGCATCATCAATCCACTTTTCGATGTGGCAAGCCACAGGTAAGATATTTCTAACGGCTTTCCAAGGAAATAAGACATGAAGTTTCCTCCAGAATTCCGAGTCCTCATCAGAAGGGAAATACTCCCTGACTAGGTAGTCACGATATTGCTCCCTAATCCTGCAGTAGGTTGATTTAATAGAATAGACACCATCATCTGTATCCAACCAAACTCGCTTGTCATTTCTGAGTGGAAACCGGATAGGGATTTTGGATATGAGATCACAATCACTTCTAGAAAATCTCTCATGTAGCTTTCCTCTATCCCACCCTCCCTATTCCTGACTGATAAGAGAGCTAACTATTTTGTTATGGTCCATAGTGAAAGGTTGAGGATCAGCGTGATAGAAGCTCTTTCCAGGTATCCACGCATCCTCCCAAACCCAGATTGACTCTTCATCACCCACTATACATATGAACCCCTCTTCGACATTATCTTTTGAAACAACAATACTTTTCCATATAAAGCTACTCTTAGTGAATCTGATTAGTTGAAGGGGCTCTTGAGTACTTATGTTAAGGAATCTGGTCAATTGATAAATTTCAATAAATCTGACATCTCGTTCAGTAAAAATGTGAGCGTAAGCAGAAGATTCGAGATATCTGGTACACTGGGGATCAAGGAGGTGGAAAAGCATCCTAAGTATTTGGGTCTCCCCACGATGGTGGGCAGATCAAAGAAAGTGATTTTTGAGGAGATTAAAGAAAGAGTTCAAAAGAAGATGAAGTATTGGAAGAGTAGAACATTATCTTAGGCAGAGAAAGAAGTATTGATAAAAGCTATGGCTCAAGCACAATTTCTCTACCTTATGTATGTTGTCTTGATTCCAGAGGGTACTCTTAAAGAAATCCACCAAATGATCTCCAATTCCTGGTGGAGACAAAAGGGCAAAGAAACGAAAAATTCACTGGATTAAGAGGGAGGAGCTCTGTGATGATAAAGAAGTTGGGGGAGTGGGTTTCAGAGACCTACGAGCTTTCAATTATGATATACTTGGTAAACACGTTTGGAGAATTTGGATAAACCGGACTCTTTGATGGCTAGGACACTCACAGTTAGATATTTCCCGAAGATAGATTTCCTCAACACCATATCATAATGCAAATTGCAACCGACGTGATTCGTTATTTATTATTATTTATTAACCGTTTAATTTGTTTTCATTTTCTTTGTAAAGACTTTTCCATAACTTTATTATCATGTGGTTATTCCTATTATTTTTTCCCCTAATGAGCATATCTAGTAAATACTATGTTTAATATAGGTATATATATGCATGCACGTACTTTATTTATTTAAACTTTTGTATTTGTATTATTGTCATATTATTTCATCTTTTTATATTTATTTGATGGATCTCGTACAAAACAGGTATAACACATTTCATATCCATATTTAATAAATTAGATTGAAGAACAAGAAGTAGTAGAGAGCATTTTACTTTCTCTTTTTATTTTTGAAACACAATTATTACAGGTCAGGGTAATACAAAATGGAGGGTTATACGACTTACAAATTTTTTGTCTTACCACTCGTCATATGATTGTATTATAGTGATAAAATTCAAACCAAGGGTGATAAAGTATGAAATTTTGTAGGTTTTGTAATTTTGGATTTGGTTACATATCATTTTCTATTATTAATTTAGTCCTCAATTATATAGCAAAAGACTAATTTCATCGAACTCAAAACGAAAAACTAACTCCTAATATTTATGAAAATAAAGACTAATTCCTAATAGTAATTTAATTATCGAGTTACATTCTCAATTGTGAAGTTTACATAAACATATATGTTGAATGACTATGTTATTGATTCTGTTGGCAGTGCGCTTTCTCCCCCAATTAACATTTAACACTCTAATACCTAACCAAATTTTCTTCCCGAATTTGTTCGAGTGTGAAGATGAAATTTCCCTAATTGTGGCAATCTGTGCACATAAGAGATGGTGATAGACCGTCATTTACACATGTTTTTACCCTCATACTTACACCGTTTGAGGTGTTGATTCTCGTGTTTTAAGCCGATTTCACGCTAGGTTGTGCTTGTTTGTGATATTTCAGGTCCTAGTACGTGAATGAAGGCTTAGGAGCGAGTCTGGGGTCGATTGGACGAAGAACGGACGAATGGCGAGCTGTTTGGGGAGTGCACGGGCAGACCAGGGAGGCTGCACGGCCGTGCACTTGAGCCATATGGCCGTGCGCCTCATGCCGAGGCCATGCACGGGCAGGCCCTGAAGCTTGCACGGCCGTGCACCTGGCCGTGCAAGAAGCATGAGTTCGAATTAAATGGATACGCTGCGTTTCAAGGTGCACGGCCAGAATGGTGTTGTGCACGGCCGTGCACCTGGCCGTGCAACTCGGGGAAACCCGGTTTTAAAGCCTAATCCGAGCCAGAAGTGGGAAAATGGTGATTGAGAGCAAAAACAGAGCCCTAGAGAGAGAAAGTGCGAAGAACACATCCTAGAAGCTGTCTTAGAGCTGGATTTCATCGAATCGAGCCTGGAGATCGTCATAGGAGTGGAAATCATCGTCCCGGAGCAGATTATCCTCATCGTTATGAGTATGACTAATCCGATTCTTGTTTTCTCTTCTCTCTCTATGGAGTAGAACCCTTCTCTCACTTGGGTATGAAGAACCCTAGTTCCTTGTGTTAGGGATTTGATTGTAATGACTTGGGATGATATTACTGTTTGATTTTAATCGAATGATGCATGTTTATTGAATTGATTTGAGTCTGATCAGCTTTTCTCAATTTCTGCTGCAACCTGAGATAGATAGAATCTGATTAGGTTGTTAGAGCCTCTTCATTCGATAGTAGGAGATTGGCTATACGAGAGTTAGCCAGTTTACTGCTTTGTACTGGTGTTCTTGGCCCAGTAGTGGAGTTCTGTGTTCATAGCCTCAGCTTTCTATCCCGGTGAAGACTAGTCGTCTGCCGGGTAGTTAGACTGAGAGGGCTTGGTCAGCTTAAGAGATTCCAAGCTACTGTCGGATCTTCCGCAGTCTAATCAATAGTAAATCAACCCAGGGAATTGCAATTGAACCTAACTAAGGGGCTAGGGGGACTCAATCCCGAGTGACTCTTGCCTGCTTTAGAAACCCAAACAATTTACTGCTTTCTTGTTGCTTTTACTTTTCACAACAATCACTTGACTTAGTTTGCTAGATAATAGAGAATCACGGAGTAAGCAGTAGATCTAGACCCCGGGTTGATAATTAAACTTGCCTGTTACTGCAGTCCCTTTCATTGGTTACACTTGGCCATTGTTAGGTGTTGTGTTTTAGCGTGTCAGATGGTATACTCAACACGATCAAGCTTGAAAACCCAAGAAGGTTGGGAAAAGGGAGTATAAAGTGAATTTGGTCAGCATCGTCAATGCATTGTGAGTTGGAAAGTAAGTGTAATCAACTTAAATATGAATATAATATATATGAATTAGACTATGATTAAACATGTATCTAGATAGTGGTTGTTGAATGCAGTAAACCATTTTGACTAGGAATAGAACATAATTAGTGAGTATATGTGTACGATGAGAGAGGGAAAGGGTTTGGTATCAGTTCCCAAGTCTTATTAGGTTTGCTTTCTCTATTTAGTTTTTTTCCTTTTTTCTTTCGATTATTATTTATATTTTATAGTAAAAGAATAAATACAAAAATCAAAGAAATATTAGGTGAAGAAAACTAGGCAAACGGAGTGGTCAAAAAGCTATTTACGTTTTTAATTTTTAATGACTTTTTATAATCATATCATCAAGCAACTTGCAACCGACGTGATTCTCGATTCTTTTATTATTTATTAACCGTTAATTTTTTTCTTTTTCTTTGTACATACTTTCCATAACTTTATTATCTTATCCTATGGTTATTCCTATCATTTTTCCCTAATGAGAATATTTAGTAAATACTCTGTTTAATATATGT